GTCTTAATTGCTTTTCTACGTTTTCTCTGCTTGTTAAAACTCGCACGATTAATCGCGAGTGTATTTTTCCAATTCCTTTACCTTCGTTCTCTACAACGGAAAGTAATTCACAAAGAGAGAAAAATAACATAAAAATAGATATGATAATAAATACATAAGATTCTTTTTCTCCGTATGTAACAATTGCCAGTACACACACACACACACACACACACACACACACACACACACACACACACACACACACACACACACACACACACACAGCTATAGAAAAAAATATAATCTCATACAATATATTATATACAATCTATATAAATTATACAATGTAAAAACATTATAAAATTTCGATTGACTTAAAATTTGACTAAAATTGACTAAAAAATAACCTATTTTTATATCAAAAAGTGATTTCGAAAAATTAAAACTGCTTATTAAATAATATAAGTTCGACAAAATTGTAAAATAATACAAATATAAAAAACAAAAATTAACAAGTATATATAATTGAGATATCATTTGTGCTTTAAGAACGTTCAACATAAAATATAATATCGAAATATAATTCATATCGAGATTCACATAATTATAATTTTTGTATATGTGTATATATATATTCTTTTTAAAAATAATCGATCAGATCAAAGTATAATTCTTCTGATGCAAGTACATGCAACAAAAGAATGTATTTAAATTTAATTACAACGAGAATCTAAATTTTCACATTAAACACTAAAATGTCACGAGATTGCTTGTGCTAACTATATATAAAAAACACATTAACAACAATTTCCTCGCGCAACTTTGCCAAATATTTAACAGATGAGAAAATTTCAAAAATATGCTGAGTTTGATCGTTTCAAATAAAGTATACGATTTTTTCCATTAATACAAAATATAAATAAGAAAACAGAAATTGCAATGGCAAAATAATGCGTGCGGCAAAATAGTGCGTGTTTTAATTAAGCTTGAATAAAATATTTTTTTGTAACAAAAATATTTTTTTTGTATTTTTTTAAAACATTATCTTTTTTTTCTTTCTTTCCTTAATTTGATCGTCACTATTCGTGCGATTATCATCAAGCAGATTGCGATGTTACCCCGTGTACCTCTGTTAAATCAATCACGTTAAATAAATAACAAATTTACAGTATAGACTACAGTATAGACGACGCGATAAGTTTTAATCTTAAATTCGTTACTATTATGAAGAATCCCCTCATAGATACTTGTGTACATATCATATCGTAGCCTAAAATATCGTATAATTAGAAACAACAAGGACAATGTTACATCGTAACATTTTTGATTGTCTTCATCAAAGAGATTCGCCCGACCAGAATTGCTCAGGATACGAGATAAGAATCCTTTACACAATGATACTAGGACACTTTCGTGCCTCTGGCAAGACAGTGTCCTGTTATTTTCACGATACGGACATCCCCCGGAAAAAAGAAGTTATTTTATATGGAGTACTTTCAGTCAAAAGTATATCAGATCATTCACGCGTTCACGTAGATTTCTCAGCATTTTCCAATATTTTCCCTCTAGGCCAGAGATTTATCCTCTCGGTATATATTTGTTACGTTATTCTGACTGGAATCTCCTGAGAGCTGATCTTTTAATAATCGAAGATCAATCTAAACGGAGCATTTTTGAACGCGATTAGATACTTAGTTTATGTAGTCGATTAAATAACGATGCCTTATGCATATAACAACAATATTAAATGTTAGCACTTAGGAAGGTCTTGTATTATTTCATTCTCTTATTTAGAATTATATTATATATATATACTTCTCGCGCGCGTATTTCTCGCGAATAATCTTAATGGTTTGTTAAGATTATGCAAATAATCGACTGTTACGTCAGCAACATCATAGATTCCGGAATCTCTTAGACTGCTTAATACTGTGTATAACGAATAATTATGAAATTCTTATTTATCATTGAAATGTGACATTATCTCTTTCTCTCTTTTGTGTTACTAAGCAGACATTTTATCATAAAGAGATCAAGACGTAGCGTTTTCACGTGAAGACTAAAGAATCGATCGATACGTACAATCAACGCATCAGTCGAATAATGATCATTGTAGTAAAAGACACAGTGTTAAAGTAATAGAAAATTACCTCGTTTCACATTATTCGACATTTAATTTTGAAGTATTATAAATGGTAAGAATTCAGAATATCTACTATATATATATATATATATATAATATATATTATATAATATAATATATATATATATATTATATATGTAATATATATAACACACACACACACACACACACACACACACAATTGTACCATATATAATATAGTCAAGACGTTAACGCGTCATGCGCCGTGTAGTACCGAGCTGTCTGAAATCACGTGATTTATAATATCGTCATGATGTCAGTATTTCCAATGAGATGGAAAGAATGTTTTATCGTCACCGAGCGGCTGTAGACAAGTACTACATGCCAACGTTTCGTTAGTCGTTATTGATTCGTTATCGTTTCCTTGATACAAGTATCGGGAAAATATTGCGTTCAATATCTGTTTCTGCTTCCCTCATGTATCTCTCGTTGCAGAATTCGGATTGCGATTCGCGTTCGACGCACCAGATTGCATAACTGGATGCTTTAGACGACGCGTATAAATGGCACGAGACGTGGACATTGTGAATCAATGCCGTATCCTTAATTAACACACAGCTAAACACGACTCGTTTCGCGAGTCAATACATATTCTCGCTACATGACTCGGGCAAGCTAGCTCCCCCAGACGGTGACAGGGGTAGCTCACCACTTTCATATTTGCTGTAGCGGCTACTATATTCTGCTAGCAAGTTAGCTTTCACCTGTTGCATTAAAAAATATAAAAAAATGTTCATATTATGAGGAAAATACATTATTTATCAAAATACAAACCTTAGCTCGTTCTTCTTCAAGCCTCTGTCGCACTTCTTCATGCTGCCTTTCCAATTCCGCTCTCTTTTTGTCGTAAATTTTCGTTAAACGCGTACACTCATTCACGGCTTTCTCCACAGTCGACTTTGCGACTTCTCGTTTTATACGTTCCAGCTCGGCTTTGTCTTTGTGTACCTTAGCCAATTGCTTAACCTAGAATAATAAAAAAATATCCAATAATCGATTTCATTACTTTATACTTTTATTATACAAAAAGAGATTAATGAAAGATAAATACTTCGCCCTGTCTCGTAGCCTGTAGTTTTCGTTTAACGTCTGCGGTTTCTCTGTCTAGAAGTACTTGGAGCATTTTTAATTGATTAGACTGCGATGCTCTCATTATTTTTTCGACGATAGTAAAGAGATTCTCGTAATATTTCTCCTGAAGTTCACGTTCTTGTTGAACGTGTGCTTTGCATACAGCTAAAAATCGTTCGCTATGACTTCTGGGCAAACCTCTGGTTCCTTCATCTCCCTCCGCATTCTCTGGGCATTCAGAAGTTTCAGCCGTAGCCAAAGTACTTAAGCCCACTTCACTCGAAAAACTACTTTAAAAAATTGTGGAATTCAATATTGTAGCAATTTCCTTTACTTTGTTCGTATACTTACATAGCTTTACTCGATAGCCGCTTTACCAGCCTATTGCTGTAAAATTTCGATCTATGCTTCTCACCGTCGACCGAAGTTTTCTGCGACATCATCCGCATCTTCTCTTTTTCATGTTTTTTCCTCAGAGATTCAAGTTTCTTCTCGAGTTCCATTTTTTTCTCCCTGACCAATTTATTTTCCATGAGCTTCTCAAAGCTTTCGGCTACTATTTCGTCACTTACTGTAATAGAGAAAGAATTACCAAATTATGAATAAAAATGAAAAAAAAAAGATAAAAATATTTTTAAGAAAAATAATAAAAAAACAAAAGCACTCACTATTGCTAGCATTGACTGGGCTTTTATTTACAGACGTATCGACTGATTGAACTGCAGAGCAGGGAGTGTCATCCTCCACATCAACTGTGTCTGAACTACCCAAACCGACGATAGATGGTCTACCATGTAAGCTACTGGAAGTCGATAAAAGACTTGGTAATTCGCCTATCGATTGTAATCGTTTAGCTTTTACAACTTCCTCCTGCAAAAATAACATTGTTGATGAGCGATATATCACAAGATGGTTGAATCATATAAACAACTTACAACTGGTTTAGCAGTACTAGAAGCATCGCCAATTTTAACCTTATCCTACAAAATGTTAGTGATGTTAGTAATTTTGAAAAATTAAATTATTAGGAAGAAAGAAGATTAGTAAATCGCTCGGCAATATTTTAAATCGTACTTCAATTTCTTCCGGCGCTTCCAAACAATCTGTAAGAACCAATAACTGGTTTTCTCTCTTCTCTACTTCACTTTGATATTTGATAGGATTCGCTAAAGCTTCAGCAAGCTCGCTTAAACCATCGGGAACATAATCCTTCACGATAACATGCAAAAACAGACTTGCTAATGGTAGAGGTTGTCCACACTCCGTTCTTAATGCTACATGCCTATATCCTGGGCATAATCCAACTACGGGAAGTACCCTGTGACCGATTAAACGTCCAGATTCTTCATACGCGGCTATTCTTATCGAGGCAAGTTCTGGCAAAACTACCTAAGGAATACGTAAACAATATATTATACAAGAAACGGTATTTTATAATGAAACTTAAAAATTTATGTAAATACTGTCGTTTTATGAATACGATACCTTCTTGAATACGAACGGTTCTTCATCATATATAGGATTAATACCATTATTCGGTACGATTTTTGTACGGAATTTCTTCCTTACGGTATCCGCCGGTAAACCGTACATATCGACTTCTACATAAGTTCCTACTCTCTTGTCTGTTAAAAATTGAGCTGATATCACGTGGATATGAACCGTTCCTGCAATGATACCGTCAACAGTAGACTCAGCGAAAGGATCCAACCGTCGATCTTTTCTTCTCATAAATTCTGGCTTTAATAAATAACCGCAACGTTGATTATACTCAAATATTCCCAGATTTAATTGCATTGCCAGGTCTGTTACAAATAAAGAGAAATTTATTTCAGCGATGTATGATAGATAAGATAAAATGCCAGATAAAATCTTATTTACCAAGTGTTTGATAATTTAATGCAACTAACTGACATCCCGCGTTCCAAAATACTTGCGGCATGAAGTTACTAGAATCAAATCTTGTTCCCGCTGGGTATACCCTGGACAATTGATGTTTGTTATAATTCACAAACTCGAGTGGCCTCTCTTTCAGGAGAGTCGTAGCTTGCTTTTCATCGAATGACGACATTTCGTACATGCGATTCTTTTCTATAAGATACGGACAATATAAAAAAAATTATCATTTTCATAATACGAAAAAACACATTAAGGTACTTCTTGATGCTTCACACATACTTTCAGCTGATTCAAAACTGCTGAAGTGTACGGGCTGCACGTAATTGACTAAAGCCGAAATTTCTGCGCCTGCTTCTGTTTCTTTGGCCGCAGATTTATCTGGTGCTTTATCACCCATCCTTAATTTCATATCCTCTACGTTAGATTCATCGTCTTCTGTACTCGATTCATCTTCTTCGTCTAAGAAAATTAATTCATCAAATATACGTGCCTTTTCTATAAATATATCTGTAGTTTTAACTTCCCGTTACCAACCTTCATCATCCTGAGCACTATCTTTACTGCCCTGTCTTTGTTGCATCATCGGAGGATGAGAAATATCGCCATTTCCAATTTGCTGTTCGTTTTCAGGTGCAGCATCGTCCATTTCATTTTGAGGTATTACATCCGGCGGTGGACCGTTCTCTCCTGCAGCTGATGGATTCATCGTTCCATTAGTTTCACTCTCCGGAGTACCTTCAACAGTGTCTAACCCTTGCTGTTGCTTTTTCTGATGCTTTTTATGATGATGATGATGCTTTTTTTTATTTTTTATTATTATTTTGCGCTTTAGTAACGATGGCGGTGGAAGCTCTTGGCCTGGCTCTAACTAAAAACAAAAAAAGCCATTCAATTATAATAATAACTTTTCTGTGTAATTAATAATTATCTGTATTATTAATAACTGCAACATCTAAAAATACCTTATGTGATTCGAGTGGCGCATCAAGCAACATTTCTCCGAAGAGATCTCTGCAGTACTGTGCGATTTTGGCTTGTTGCCTTGGATTGCAATGATTTTCAAAACTGAGAATAACCGGACAATCAGACGTTTTAAAAGCAGTTTCAGCGATTGCCTCTATCACATCTCGAGCACATATCTCAGGTACGAATGTATATCTAAGAAAAGATACGTTCGTATTTTTAATTACGGATAATTACGGATAGATAATTCTATGCTTTCTTACGTTAGTATAAAATAATAAGTCATTCGTACCCGTGAACAATAACGGGTTCGTCAAATTTCCCATTCCAAAAATCTAATTCAACGCATCGACAACCGGCCAAGAGACATTGACGATAAATTTCCACAGAACTCTTTCCAGTAAGTTGATGCCCTGAACAGGAGAAACATTTTATAAGTATCTAAATTAGATATGACATACTGCATATTATAAAAATATATTATAAAAATAATTACAACAACATTCGTATACCTGTTAAATATGTGTTGTGACTAGAATTTATAAAATAATGCGCCAGCGGTTGATCCATATCGTCGGATAATTCAAATTTGTTGATAGCGACGATCGGGTTGTCTTCGCTCATAAGATATCTTAAGAATCCATCTAAACTGAGTTGCCCTTTATTTGCATTACATTTGTTGGGTTCATACTGATTTATGATATCTTTTGCCCTTGCTTCGTTTGCATACGGGTACAATATCTCGTTGAGCCGTGGATCTCTCTGCGTCTTGTTCAAAAAATCCACAAATTGCGAGACAGACATCAGCTTGCGTTTATTACTGCCAATAATTCCTTCGAATACTTTTTCCACATCTGATCTTTGAGTAAGAGATTTGTAAAAGTTGAAAAAATCCTCAAATTGGAATTTTAACAATGGTATGACGTCATTCTAAAGAAACAATATTGTTGTAACAAGTGAGTATTATATACTGAGAGCATTTTATGATAAAATCTTTCAAAACTAATATTTACAACAGGAAACTCACTTTGCCAGATGGAAAACCAGAAATATCAAGTGCTTTCTCAACACGCCTTCGATCGTCTTTATTTTGTGCAAACATTTTTATTATGCTGCAAACAGATTCAAATGCAGAAATAGTGATTTTATAACGTTAGAATTCGTCTTTGTAACGTTTCACTTTGTACTCACTTTTTCACTGGTATCTTTTCATTTTTATCAGCAGTGAGTGCAAGCTTGGTATGCGCTTTCAATAAAAACATAGTTGTGCTAGTGTTTAATTGAATCAAATTGTATGCCATTTGGAAGAGTTGTTCTGCCCAGTGCTGTGCTATTTCTGCACGCGTTGTGCAAAAATTAATAAAATTCATATTGACAAAGTCCGAGCCGTAACAGATTGTCACGGTTTTATCTTCTAAGGAGTCTTGAGAACCCATCGTTACAAGAGATTTCAGCTTTGGATCCTATAAAGAGGAATTGTGTGATTCACAATATATTTTTTTGTTATTCTTTGTCACAAAAAATATATATATATAT